GACAAAAGGGATTTTTTTTCACATTTGCCAACTTTCCACATTCTTTAACTCCTTCCACCCACCCCTCCATGTCTCACTGTCAGACTCCTTTATTCTGTTTTATCTTGCTCCAACTCTCTCACACCCTACAGGGTCCCCCAAGTGGGCCTCCAGGAAATGTAATCATTACCAGGGCAGGGAACACGGGGAGGGACTCTGAGCAGGGCCCACACAACAACAACAACAACAAGCAACAAACATCACAACCTACAAATAATCGGAATTCCTCCAAGGCTGCCAGCCCATTGCTCTGCCAGCAGCCTCCAGCCAACCAGTCGTTACACAGAGGAAAACAATTATGAGCCAATCAGCGCTGCAGGCCTCTTTTGGGAGATTTATCTTTCATCTTTTCAAACAGTATTGATGTGCAATAGGGCCATGAACGGGGGGGGCGGTCCTCTTTTGAGGTCATTAAGATCATAATGATAATACTGGGAAAATTCTACATCCCCATTCAGATGCTGTAAAGTAAATGAGAGGCATTTCAAACAGACCCTGACACTGGAATGTGTAAATCCAAGATTAACAAGTCGGCATAAAATAGAGCGTTGATGTGTCAGGTCACATTTCGATTGCATTAGGTGCTTTGAATGATTGCTGTGACATACTTTATGCTCTCAAATAGAGTTCAAATAGAGCTGTCACATCTGAGGTGAGGTGTTAGTGTGGTTCGTCCGCGGTCATGGTTTGATCCCTGACTCCGCCAGTCCAATGCTCAATTGCTTATTCATGACTTGTAGAGTAAAACAGCAAGACAATACAAATGCAGTCCATTTACCATGTTGTCCCCTAGAATGGGTCGGTCTCCAAAAACTCAGAAATCCACCCACTTATATCTTTTCATGAATACAAAAAAGGTGATATACTCAGATCCCACTGTCAGCAGAGGACTCTGCCTCTTTTTTATTATCTGCCTCCTGTTCAACATCACGAACGCACTGAAAACTAAGGCGCTCTCTCACCTTGCTGTTTTGTCAAATGAGTTCACATGGGTGTCATGTTTCCATCACCGCTGATCGGACTCCGAGCCAATACACACCATTTTATTCATGTTTTATGGTTTCATCACTCTTTTCAGCAACTGCTAATGTGCCTGAATATGTTTTTAAACAAACATTACATTAGCCTGGTGCCTGGTTCTTGTACTCATATAAACAAATCACATCAACACAGGATAAAGAGAGTTACTTAAACTCAAGGAGATGATTATGGATGAGGTTTGAGTCAGCTTCATGTGTTGTGTGCCAGACTCTGACTCCTGTGATTGTATATTGTCAAGGGAACATCGATCAAAGCACTGACAATAAAACACTGCTCATTATAAAAATCCTGACTGAGTCCTACATGGTGGCTATCAGGAGACAAATACGTACGTGGTATGTGCTGACATGAGCGCAGGCCGACCAACAAATGAGCACAATAAAAGAGATAACAGAGAGGGGGGGGGGGAGAGAGAGAGAGAGAGAGAGACCATGTGTACGTAATTCTGCAGCACAGCTGAACAAAGGGGTGAGGGTAAACCTCATCAGGTCAAGAGAGTATGTGGGTCAAACTGAGCACTGACCAGTCTGTGGTTAATGCCACAACACACCATCTTATTGAGCAGTGATCTGATTCATACGAATGTCTCTCCATGGGAAAAAATATCAGAGTCTTTATTAAACATATATTCAGTATTCTTGGAGCACTGATTCAACTGGAAGGTCTCTCAGTAGAGTGTGTACACCAGTCCCCTTACATGTAATCAAACCAAACTTTAGACACTCAAAAATGCCTGATTTCTTTTGGCAAGATCCATGAATTATTCCCTCGAAAAGGAAAAAAACTGTCCTATCTTACAATGTTAAAGAGGGGAGGGGGATCAATTGATCCACACCAGAGTTTAATAGGTTTTTCGATGACCCATACCACATCCTTCCACCAAGTTTCGTGGAAATGGATTCAGTTGTTTTTGTGTAATCTTGCATAAATACAAACACCCAATAAACAAACTGTCAGGGGTGAAATCATCACCTCCTTGGTGAAGGTGATTAGTCAAGCTGTCACCCGTGTAGAGGAACCTCCGGTGGCCTCCTCCTCTCTCCTCCTCTCTAGAGTCAGTGGTTTGTCTTTTCTGGGCTAAAGTAGAAACAACATGGCAGCCTCCGTTGACGTAGATATAAAGTAGTAAAAACCCAATTACCCTCAGTTTCAAGTGATTGCATGAAAACAACACGATGAATATTGTGTTCAATTTCTGCCTATTGATCGTCATAAATCCCCCACACTGGACCTGATGTGATTCAGTGATGCGACAACTAAACTCAGATGACATGCTACTGAATAACCTGAAATGGTGAATTCTGGGAAGAAAACCAATGCTTGTCATGTATTTAGCTCACAGCGAACACGTATTACATTAGCACTTTCAGACAGCAGACAGGAGAGGAGTGAGAGAGGCTCCTCTGACAGAGGAATTGTTAGGTCACACTAAACACACACAAACATTACAAAGTTTTTCACACAAACAGTGAGCTATTTCTGTTTTTTTTTTATAAATCAGATTACTATCTGGAATGTAACCAGACCAACACGGGGCCACACCCCTGTGTGCTGATTCGAGGCACATGGCTCAGTCAGACCATTATCAGAAATGAGACAGAGAGAGTGTGGTGCTGTTCAAGGCACTGACTTATGTAACTGTCTTAATAAGCCTCATATGCCTGTTATTTTTGGTCCTATCACTGCTGAGATCCCATGGTACAGTGCGAGCACAGTACACAGAGTGCTCTTTGACCCAACATCACGAGACGTCATCAAAAACCCAACAGACATTCATAGTTGTGCTACCTCTCCTCTAGAAGCTCACACAGCAAGAAAGAGATATAATGACGTTGGTTTAAAAAATAACACTAATCAATGCTCACAGTTGCAGCAGCCACTAATTCAATCACTAATTTACAAGAACAAGGTTTTGGCTCTGCACTGATGTGGTACTTCTGCTGCTACTCAGCTGGAAAACATTACGTAATGTGCAGATGCCGCTCACTCTTGACAAGCGAGATACCATCGCCTGGCGAGGGCAGTGAGCTCAGGTGTTATTCCCAAAGAGAGAGAGAGCAGAGGATTTGCATGAATGATTTTCCCTTTCAAACATCCTCTGCGGCAAACTGACCAACCTGGACCCGGCAGTCAAATGTGGAAGAAAACAGGAAGTTAATAAGGAAACCAGACGCTTGTATCCATGCGTTGCACCTTGCCCTTGCCCTTCCTAAAGTCTGGCTACAGAGACCAGTTAGATTTGCATGATTATTCATTTTCCCTGAATATCCAGTAGGTTAATCACACTTTGATCCAACTCAGCTTTAGACTATTATGTTCCAATGAAAAATCCCAAGACATCTGAACATGTGATGCTTTATTAGCTCTAAATCAAGCTGGAGAGAAATATTAGGACTTGTCCTAATTTAATCATAAAATCCCTCTAAAAGGCACTTCTTAAAGGGGAAATATCACATTAATATTAAAATTGTTTAACATCATCGCATAAAACTCAGCATAACTCACCCTCAGACAGACAAAAAACTTTATCTCTGAAAAATTCAGTATTTTGTTAGTAATATAATATCACATAAACAAACTGAACTGCTGAACTGCCACTGAGTCATAACCAGTGAGTCCAACATATAGCAGCCTCCCTGCTCACTTTGTTGCTCTCAGTCCAACTGGGATCACGTTAAAAAACAACAGCATACTGTATATCTCCCTTCTTTCTGGTGGGATGTGTAAAGGACTCGTGAAGAGCCTGGCTGTCAAATGCCAGGAGGTGAAATGTAGCAGTTCACTGTGAAGACCGGTGACGACGTGACAGACACTGACTCTCCAGGCCAGTAAATCCTTATTGGAACTTGGTCGAGATTCTAATAACGTAGCCCCCGAGATAATACAGATACAAATCTGCCACCTGGTCCACTGCAATGCTGCACGCCACTTTCTCAGCAACATTTCTTACAAAACGTTCAACGGAGCCAGTTTGATTCTCCTTAAGTGATAAAAGCAATATGTGGACATGTTTGCTGTCAGACATCAAGACATCATAAAAGTCACATTTCCATTTCTTCCTCTTCCTTCCCATCAAACTAAACCTTAAATGAGCATGGCACAGAGGGAGTCATATAACTAGAAAAAGAAAACTTCCCCATGTGTATGTAGTTTAAACAACAGGTTTTATCTGGACAATAACAGCAGAAATAATGAGATTTTATATTTTGGGAGACATTTATTGTCTTGTAAGATTTGCTCTCTGGTATAATTTACTAATATAACTTGCTGCTACCTGCCCATTGCACTATTGTATCATATGTCGTATGTTTTAAAAGAGTTAACTGTAGTGAACAGTAAAGGTAATCTATCTTAATCTATTTTATTGTTTTACACAGTTCTATCATTTTATGTGTACTATTTCACTCCTTTAACTAATTTTTACACAGATTTAACCCTTTATATTTCTTTTAATTTTTTTAAATTTGCTTGAAAATTGCCTTCTGTTTCTTTTCATTTTGCCTCTGCTGTGTTGTTTCCATGTCCCTGTATAGCACCTTGAATCTACCTCTGAGTGAAATAAAACCGCCTTTCTTCGCATGAGCTCATCTTTAATCTCACCTTCACTTTAATTATGATACAAATGATAAACATCACATTGTGCTCTAATGATCTGACCTGCTGCCCTTTACCCAATCATACAAAACACATGCTGAGCCCTATTAGAGAAAGAGTTTTTAAGTTCAGAACAGTTGATGTTTTCTGAACATCTGGATGACTTCATTTCCAACACACACCTGCTGTTTTTTAACTTGACAACAGCCAGAGAAGTGACACTGAAATACCACAGTGTGTGAGATGAGGGCTTTGTGTCAGTGTAGTAAATATTGTACAAGATATCAAGTTTCACATTATACACCCAACAAACAGTATAATCTCACCTGATCGTCTCCTCCTGGCTGTTGAGTCCTGTAGAAATATTGTTTTTCTTGCTGCTGCTGCTGCTGCTGCTGTCCTCACAGACAAGATCTCTCCTTCAAGCTGACAATCAATCCCCAGCAGACAGAGGAGTAAAAGCTGGTTAAAGTGACTGTAGGCAGGATGTATCTCCACCACAGGAGGACTGTGGACTGCTGAAGACTCTCACCTCTACTGAGAGCAGCAAGGAGCTGTGTGTGTGTGTGTCCCTGCCCTGCCTCTTTACACACAACGCTGCCATTCACTGCATACAAGGTAGAAAAGCAAGTCTGAAACGCCCCCTGCTGGGTATAACACATGAATGAGTATTGCACAGCAGTGATTATGGCACAGTATAAGTAATAAATATATTGCACAGTGGATGGATGAGTATTGCACATTATTGCCATGTCATGATTATTTGCAAGGTATGTATATGTATATAAAGATCGACATGAGTAAATTGTCTGAGAAAGATATTAGACCCATGTCATGATAATGGATGGATTTGGAAACTTTTTACAGACGCAGATCCCCATTATTAGAATGAACCAGAACCAGTAAAGGCTTCTATGAAAGCCAGGCCAAAAAAGATATACAAATGATAAAATACAAAGCATACAAAATTGTTAACAAGGATAATTTATTAGAATGATGTATTAGTATTTGCATATATATATATATATATATATATATATATATATATATGTACAGCAGAGAAAAAGTTATGTTAAGTTAAGTTATTCCATTATTTATCACAGGGTGTATTAAACAAAGGTAAAACATTTCCTGATTAGCTTAATGATTGTGAGAATTTTCAAACGTCAAAAATAGTCAGCAACTGCAATTTAATATTTATACCTTAGACCTGCCATAATTTAAAGCTTATTTCCTGAAATTGCTATGACCTGTGTCGCCCATGCTATCTTTGTAGCTTTGTTAAATAACCTGTGAGTTTTAACACGAATGACATTAAATTAATCAAAACAATATACAGTACCTAACTTGTGTGCAAAACAAGCATGTGGTTCTTAGACAGACTGAAGCATGCCAAACTAAAAGTCCTACATGTGAGTACAATATATAAGTGCAGTGAACTAAAGCAGGTTGAAGAGCAGTCCAGCTTCTGTATTCTGGATGAGCTGCAGAGGTCGGATTGCATTAGCAGGCAGACCAGCCAGGAAGGAGTTGCAGTATAGGTGTGAGATGACCAGAGTCTGGACCAGAACCTGTGCCGCTTTCTGAGTGAGAAGGGGACGAATTCTCCTGATTTGATTTAAGGTACACAGGACCAATTAGTAGGTTTTACAGAGACTTTGTAATCCCCTACGCGGGTAGGTTTTATAGACATATGCAGCCAGTCACAGCAGGACTATCACAAGACCTGTGAAATCAAGAGATGCATATATTAGACGACTGTATAAATGCACAATAGATACAACACCCAATAAAATGTTGATGTCACCTGGTTGTCAGCATTTGAAAGACGGGCATTTAAGCGCTGAGGAAGCAAGTAGCAAAGAGAGAGAGACAAGTGGGAAAAGTATCAAAAATATCTTCTTAAAATTAACGCAAAGACGTGGGTTAAAAGGGGGGGAAAGAAATAGTAACACATGGCTGCTGTTGACAACTGCTTGTTAGAAGATAAGGAAACAAAGTGTCAGGTTTACTGATGTTCAGAACTTACCTAGAACTCCAATGACTCTGGTGGCTGTGTAGGCTTGGTCTGGGTGTTTTGATGATGAGGTAACTGCAGGAAAGAGGGAAAAACTCCAGTCAATGTTCAAACAAATCAGCGAGCAGCGTGATCGAGTGTATCTGCAGGTAAAACTCACCAGTGGTAAAAACACATGTGCTGTTGAGGTCTAGTTGAGAAAACAAGAGACGTGTAACAAAGAGTAATTAGACAGTGTAGTATCAGTTACTGAACACCTGCAAAGATATTAATCAATATACAAAGAGGATAAATGTACAAAAATGTCCTGACTTCAAATAATCCGGGTGTCAGCGATAAGGTAAAATATCTTGGTCACTGATGAAAAGACAGATAACCATAATTTGTTGTGCTTTTGTTTGTATTCTATTCTATCTTGTGTTATATTTTATCTGGACCCAGTCTGAATAATAAATGGAATCATCATTACTTTTAATTCAAAAATGTGCTGGGTGTAAAATTCTAATTTATCTTCAGTGCCATCATTATTCATCTTAAGGAACATACTCATCAGAAATAATGTAATTCCAGGGTGTCATTTGTCACAAAGGGTTTTTGCATTGCTTTACACATATTGAAAACCAGAAACCAGAGAGACCAACAGCTTAAATGTGCTGGCAGTGATAGAATTTGAAGTGGTTTTGAAGCAGCAACCTCAGCCTGGACTGATACCACATTATGTGCAGACCTCTTTCACCCAGTGCTCATACTTATTTGGCATCACTGCAAGACAGGAAACTGTGACTACGTGCTGTTATCTGCTGCATTCACCACTCTTTGATTCTTAGGTTGATGTGGTGTCTTTGTCCTTCTAGTGGCGTGTAGATTGTTACACATTATTACAATTTTGCTTGTCACATGTCACAAAAACCTGAGATAAGTGGTTCACAGGACACTATACCTTCATCTCTGTCAGAGTGCACTCGTATAAACCATATGAAACCAAACGTGAGGTTTATACACTAAAAACATAAGGAAAATCAGGTTTCTCTGACCAGCATAGCGTGCAATGAAAACCTGCATTAGTACAGTTTTTGAATATAAAGGACTCAAGAGAATAAAAGTAAATACCTTTGCAGTTTTTGGTCTCAATATAATCTTCATCTTCAAATTCACAGTTTCCTCCTGAAAGGGTGGAAACAAATGCCAGACCTTGGTGCTGGCAGACAGAATCGGGTGGTGGGGGGCCTGAACATTCTTCTATGTGATCACCGTTGAAAATCAGCACGTCTTTGCAGAACACCACTCTCACACAAGCAGCGCAACCCGGAGTCACACAGTAATACACCTGCTCTAATCCCTTTCCACCTGCAACATACAACACAATTGTTTATATTTGTTCTTGTTTCTCTTGCTTTTTCTAATCACAAGATGGGTAAACAAGAGATGACGTTCTCTGACCTGCTGTAACCGGAAAGCACTGGATGAGTTCAGGAATAAACTGTGACAGCAGGAAGGTGAGGAGTTGAGGAATGACGAAGATCAGATCTGTCGACACAATAAGTACAACATAAAACCAGAGGCTCTGTAGTTTAAACCACAGTTTAAGTTGCTGAGCTGTCAGACACCTACTGTTCATGTTGAGTGGTGGGTGTTGTCTGAATCACAAAACCAAATCCCTCTGATGTCTTCCTGCTGCTCATTGTAATATATGTGGCACGCTTGCTGTTGGAGAAAAAGTTACAAAATACCTCATTCCACATTCCACCCTGATACCATCCTGCTATCACCACTCTGCAGATCTGGCTAAACACTGCGCCCAGCTTTAAAGAAGTGATGCTATACCAGGAAATAGGGGTGCAACGGATCAAAAAACTCACGGTTCGGATATGGCCTTATGTCTGCACCTATAAACACACCGATAGCGTTTGTGATGGCACGATGTGTGTGGACTGAACGTGTGTGCCGAACCGAACATATTGATCCGAACGGATCACGGATCAATGATGATCCGTTGCACCACTACCAGGAAACAAAGACAATGACATTATACAGCCTGGAGTTTTCTAAACACTACAACTCTGTGTCATCACTCTCCCTGGAAAGAAAGATCTTAACAGTCATAATGAATGAAAACCACAAGCCTTCTCTCCTTCATTTCTGTCATGTTCTCCTCATCGACATTCCTTTCTCCCCCTGCTTCAATACTGGTATGACTAATAACGATAAAACCAATTCAACCAAATAAAACTGTATATATGTATAGAAAGACACAATATATCCATGTCCGTGTATATATAACTTCGATGGAAACCACTTGAACCATTTAACTTCCTGCTACTGTAATATTAACACAGAGTGTGTGTGTGTGTGTGTGTGTGTGTGTGTGTGTGTGTGTGTGTGTGTGTGTGTGTGTGTGTGTGTGTGTGTGTGTTTATAGATGTATAAATGTAGAGTGTAAGGTTTTGTTGGCTTGACGTGTCAGCTCCGTGTGGCTGCACATACAAGTGGTTCTGTTCTGGTTCTGACTCATATAAAGAATTAATTATGCTGACGTCTCATTGGCTGTTTGTGTCTCTAATGACTCAGTGAACCGTTGCCATGGAGACGGACTCTCCTCAACACTTGATACCTGGAACATTGTGTGTCTGTGTGTGACTCTTTGTGTGT